CAAAACTCTTTGGTCGCTGGCTTCCTGGACACGGTGAAGCTGAGAATGTCCACAGGTGGCGGCCTGCCAAACCGAAACCGGGCCTGCTTAGGCTAGGGAATTCACAAAGAGGTGAATCTGTGAATCCTGACTCGCAAGCTCGAAAACAGGTTCAGGGTACAGCTTCATCCCTTAGAGCTTCAATCTCGAATCCCTCACCTCCTCACCCCAAGCACTCTTTCCAAAGACATCAGTCAATCCCGTAACCCTCAACAAACCCTTTACCCTCACCTTCCTACGTTTGTACTCAGGGTTCGTTGGTTCTTCTGCTTTCCGGCTTTACCCAGAGGCTCCATAGTAGTTCCTTTTGGGATTAGCTTATAGGATTCTAAATATGAACCCCAAAAAGGAACTACTTTGGAGCCTTAGAGTAGACTTAGGGTTTCGAACTTAAGTTCTGGCACTATGGAAGTAGCTTGCCCGGTGTGCGAGGGGGCGCTGCCGATGCCCATTCTCTACATCAACAGCGAAGCGTATATCTGACAAAGATTGGGGGGTTTAGGTTTAAGGCTTACAAGACTTTTTGGGGTTCATATATAGAATCCTATAAGGTAATCCCAAAAAGGAACTACTATGGAGCCTCTGGGTAATGACCAAAGCCCGAAACCCTAAAACTGTAATGTAAATCCTCCGGACTCCAGCACGGCTAAGTTTCAATCCGCAGCCCAAGCCCCTTTGCCTACCCTGCCTTATCGGGTTGTGGCGTGGACGGGTTGGGGGTGTCTTCTGAAGACCAAGCTGTGCAAACCAGGCCTGGAAGAGTAGGTACCTAATTTTGGAAAGGATTGGGGTTTAGGGTTTAGGGTTCTGGTTCAGCTCACGATCCCACACTGTTTAACACTCAAATAAAACAAGCAAAGCCCAGCCCAAGTTCAGCCGAAACCCACGGCTGGACGGCCTCTTCCTCTTGGGGGAGTCCATCTCAGCACACAGTGCGGTCAAGATGGAGTTCCAAGATCTCTAAAGGTGCACACTTAGGCAGGTATTTCATGCTATGTTGTTGCGCAGCTTGTGGCGTAACGCAGGCATTGCTGAGAGCTAGTTAGGCATACATTCGAAGCAACCAACCTAGAACAGCGAGTTCACGGTAAGTCTCGAAACTGTAATGGGTTCGGAAGTGACTGCGCTGAAGTTCACGATCCTACAGCACCAGCAGGAAATATCCGGGACCCGACTCGAATCCAGATTTTCCAAGATCATCCATTCGAGCAAGCACAGCAGGCAAAAGATAGTCAAGCTTTCGTGCAATAACTTGCCGGTCTTGACGCACATCCCCTCTAGTCGATCTGAACTCATGCCTGCGACGGACCTTGCATGTTGCTCGTCTTCGTACGAGCATTTACTGACCGTTGCTCTTGCCAAAGATACTTAAGGTCGAGCCAAATCTTACAATCTCTACTTCAGCCTCGCACACCAATATCCTGAGGGGCCTCATGTATGCTGTATGCCGTCACCACATCCGAATAACTGAAGGCATGCAAACTTCGCAGCGTCCTGAACTCATGAAGCCACACGTCCGAGATTTCTTTTCGCCTTTTTGAGGCGTTTTGGGGGGATGATTACCTGTAGCCTCCAAATACTCTAATATACCAATATACCCCAAAAACCCACTATGAAGGGCTTACATACACCAAATACCGACTATTACCATAAGGGGCTCCATGAAAGCACCTTAAACCCTAAACCCCTAAACCCTAAACTCTAAAACCCCTAAACCCTAAACCCTAAAACCCCGAAACCCTAAATAGGCCCTTTTTGGGGGGCTCCTGGAAGGCTCGGCCTCGTAAAGCTCGTAATCCGCCATGGTCGAAAGTCCCCCCCCCCAAGTGCGCCACCTGCGCGGGAGGAGTGAGTCTTGATGTTCCCTTGGGCACCAGTTACCTCAATAGTAAAATAATCTGTATTATACAGTATCATATATAAAAATATCTATCTATCTATCCCAACCCCACTATATAGGTAGCTGGAGCCCAAGGATTCTTTATCAGGCATTGGTTAAGTGGCAAGATTGCAGTTCCTGTGTTTAGCAGCCCACCTTCTCAAAATTGCATGAGCCTTAGTAATTACCTGCATTATTGTGGAGGTTTCATAGTATAATTACAGTGTAATAATGGGCCTCAAAACCCTATTCTAATTATTTAAGCCCCTATACTACTTTCGAACTCCTACGTCTCACATCCTTGAGGGCCCAAAGCCGTCGCTCATACACCTTTGGAATTGAAGAATACGGAATACACTTTTCAACTAGGGGGTAGAGCAGTCGAAGCCCAAAAGTTGGAAACCCCAGAGCCTCCATCCTTAAGAGTAATGTATAGGGAATCCCAGCACTAGTTGGCCTTATTCCAGTTTCCAACTTTATGGCGTTTACTGTACTGCTACAAGGGCTACAGAAGCCAAAAGCTCGAACTCCAATTTCATGCGACGAAAAACCCTGGCCAGCCGTGCTTCTAGTAGTAGTTGTTGCTGCTGCTGTTACTGTTCATGCTAGTGTTCACTGTTGTTAATGATATTGTTAATGTAGTCGTCGTCGTCCTGGTGATTGTTGTTGTTGTTGCTGTTGTTGACTTATTTTGGCATGGTGTCGTTCGTTTTTCTTTGTGGTGTGCTTTTCATGTGTCTAACTTTCTCTTCATTTGTCTGAGTCTGTACATGTCTGTACTAAATGAAGCTGCATGGTTGACGTAAACCTCGAGGCTTCAAGCTCCGTGATTTGAGTCCGTCGCGGTTCTATCGGAGGTCAGTGGCGAGGACTTCGGGGAACGAGTCACTTTAGAATGTATCTTGGCTAGGGTCGGGTTTTGTATTAGGATTTAGGGGTGTGGGGACCCACAGGCTCAGGGTTTGTGACCTTAGGATGCAGAGTCTTGGGTTCAGGGCAACCCAGTAGTAGGCCATGAAACCCTCCAGGGCTTCATGAAGCGTACTGGGTGCAGCAGAACTTAAACCTCACATGTGTGCGCTAAGGATTCCGAGGTCCTGCTTTGCCTACATAGTCCACGATAGGGCCAAAAAGCAGTCATACTTCTAAGCCGCAAAGTTACGTAAACCCTAAACCCCAAAACATCCTAAAACCCCAAAGCAGGCTTAACGACCCGCCCCCTGATCCTCGATGAGTCTCGACTTGCGTTCCTTTCTCGAATGCATCCAAGCTTCACGTGCCTTAAACCCTTTGAACCTAGAACTCAAGCCCCGGTCATCAAATCTGGGATCAGAGTTCCAGGCTGATGCCTAGAAGAACTTGAGAGTTCAGCTCGCCGTTGCTAGAACAGAGGCGGCTGAAACCAACTGGCTGACGGGGAGCTGGGCCATGGGCCCATGGATGGATGGAAGGACGGACGGATGGATAGATGGATAGACGGATGGATGGATACGGGGATGGACGGAGAGACGGAGGGATGGATGAATGAATGGATGGACGTCGCTGCCCATGCCTACATTTATATGCGCGCGCTGGGGTGTGTCTAAACGCAAACCCCTTTTGCGCGCTTACAAGGAGCATGTGTATGTCGTATGTGCATGAAAACATGGAGGTTCCTGTGCAGTTTTTTGAAGCCATGAACTGCGATAGTGCCAGCATAAGTACATCAACAGTTCCGGGTTTTGCATTCCAGCTACTTGTCACCATCAGTGTGCGTGTCAACATCAATACGAGGAGCGATGCATGCCCTGAGAAAAACCCGCCCGACCCCTCACCCCAAAAGGCGCCTGATCCCGGAGAGGGGCGCAAAGTCGAAATGTCTACATGCAGCAAGCCGACAGCAACGGAGAAAATGCAAGGAAATCCTGAGCCTAAGTAACAGGATACTAATCAGGGGTCCTTTCAGCGGTTGCTACAAGGGTTACTATGAGGGGTTACTTTCTGTGTCTTCAAAGAAAATCGTCATGTGTGTTGCATTCACGTGGATGACAGGGCCACGGACCTGGTCTTCGTTGAGTTCACCGAACAGATTTTGTTGCAGACGGTATGGGGGTTTACGCTCTCGCAACTCGGACTCCGCCAAACGGTATAGGGTTTTGAGTTCAAGTCAAACTCGTGCTGAATGACCGCTCCGCCATTTGCGCTTCGGGTCACAGAAGGGCTTGATCCTAGCGAAGACCAGCCTACAAACTGCAAATCTTCAGCTGCCAAAGAAAGCTAAATTCAACATCCTCCCGCAGCCAGGATCTTTGGTCTTTTGCTTTGGTGTTGGAGGTGCTGGACTCTGGACTCACCAAGCAATGAAATGTCAGCTAAGTCTCCTCTGCAGGAAGCTAAGTCTCCCGGCAACAGTACGAGGGCAACTACGGTTTAGGGTTTAGGGTTTAGGGTTCCAGTTTCTAGAGTCCACCCCATAATTTGGACCCTGGTGTCTCGTAGCCTCGCAAACCCAAATGACTCCACCGGGCTAAGGGTCCATGGCATTTTTCATTTTTCCGTAGAGGCATATGAAATCGTTCATAGAACCGGCGTCACCTCTGTTGCAGCCGTATTTACCGAGTCCCCCAATGCTAAATCTTTTTTGTCCGCTCGCACTGCCACAATCAGTGCTCGATTAATTGGGTTGGATGCATTGGCGGCTCAAAAAACTAGATCGAATTCTGGGCCCTGGGCTTTGCAGGCATGGGAAGTGTGGGAGTTCCCGGAAACAGCGACCCTGGTAAAGGTACGCAGTACCAGGACTCATCTAATGAGGGACGACGCCATCGACAGAACAAGGACCTGAAAGTTTGGATTGGTGTGCCTGGGCACCTCGAACCGTACAATGCGTGGCCCAGCCACAAAATGCAAAATGCTTCCTTGATATGTGGACGACACGAACATCAACACCAGCTGGAAGCCAAGATTGCTGCTTCTAATAGGTCTGCCAACACTACTCAGAATTTTGACACGGCCGTTACTCACAGACTCAGCAGATGGGTGTAAATTGAAACCAGGGGTACCTAAGCTTGAAAAATGCGAGTCTCCATGTGTAGGGGCTGCGTTACCAGGGTGCGAGTTTTTCTGAAACTCCCAACCGGCCCGAATCTTGTGTTGCCTTGCGTCGTTGAGCCGAGTCTGCCCTGCGCTGGACAAACTCAGGAAGTGCGTAGATCTGCTCAGCCTCACCCAGGAAATTTTCAATGATTTTTCGCCTGAGAGATATTATGCCATCAGCCAAACATACACTAGTATTACATGGAACCGTCGGGAACAGTATTCTAGGCCCTATAGCAAGCTGTTCCTTCTGCTTCAGGATATGCAGTCAATCTGCGAGTGGCCTTGGCGACCTGAAATAGCCTGAAACATCAAAACCCCTCGATGGAACTTGCCTCGCTAAGAGGGCTCCAGCAGGGATACTACTTGATGACTAGACTAGAAGGCATTTACGGCCGGAATATAGATGCCGTCAGCTGCGCCAACCATCTGGAAGCCCTAAAGCACTTAACATCTGTAACCTCGACCGTCCAAAAGCAAAGCCTTCCAAGAGCCCTAGCATCATCCAGCCATTAAGTTGAGCAAGGCTGACCTGCAAACCACAAGTTGATTTAAACAAACCAAGCCGAAACACCCAACCAGCATCCCTACTAAAGCTATGGGCACCCTAAAACACATCTTCATCAACGGAGATCCTTAATCTCAAGCTCCTCAAAACCTACCTAAGGAAGCCCAGAATCCTATATCGCAAACCCTGAAGCCTTAACGGAACCCTTTTTGCTACTGGACTCAAGTCTAGCCAGTCTATGACCTGCAATCTGCAATTATAATCTGGACCGAGGCGGACATTGACATGCAGCACGGAACCCTACACCCTAAATCCCTAAACCCCAACTCTAAATTCCTAAACCCTAAACCCCTAAGTCCCTAAATCCCTAAACCCCTAAGTCCCTAAATCCCTAAACCCCAAACTCTAAATCCCTAAACGCCTACACCCCTAAACCCTAAATCCCTAAACCCCAAACTCTAAATCCCCAAACGCCTACACCCCTGAACCCTAAATCCTTAAACCGAACCTTGACGCCTCGCAGGATGTTTGGGTTTTAAGCCAAGGGCCTTCTTTGTAATGAACCTTCATAGGGCCCCCAAAAAGCACATAAGCAAAAATTAGGATAGGGATATCCCATATAAATCCCTTATAATGAAGCCCAATAATGTAGGGATATCCCCCTAAAATGCTTATGCTTATGTGCTTTTCCCTAACTTCAATGCCCCCCCCCCAACGCGAGCTAGGGGCCCCATGATCGAATATCCTGAGTATTCTGGGATCACGGTTTAGGGTTGAGGGTTCAGGGGCTTAGGGTTTAGGAGTTTAGGAGTTTAGGGTTTAGAGGTTTAGGTCCAGGGGTTTAGAATTTAAGGGGTTAGGGGCTTAGGGAGCTTAGGGGTTTAAGAAGCCCTGGCAAGTTCAGCAGCCTGCCCGCATGCTTTGCAAGAACTTTGGCTTCGGGGTACAGACGTCTGTACATGCTGAGGTGATTTTGTTGTTGGAGAAACCGCTCTACGTCTTGGGACTTACATGATGTGAAGCCCACTGGTGATCACGGCTCCAAGTAGGGTTTGGGGCTCATTAGCCCATGGACCGCAGTAAGGGCCTCCATTCCAAGATACATCTGCTTCGACTCCACTGTTGAAGCATGGCGAAGCTGTGATGGCTACCCTAAGGCTCCAAAGTAGTTCCTTTTGGGGGTTCATATTTAGAACCCTATAAGGTCATTCCAAAAAGAAACTACTATGGAGCCTCTGGGTGAAGTCGTCTTGTAACTGCAGAACATGTGAAGAGATGATGGGCAAGGACACATGAAGACGGAATTATCGAATATCCTTCTGGAGAAGGACCCAAGACCTAAGCAGCCCGTGAAATCAGAAAGGCTGTGATGTGCACAGGAGCGGCTAATACCGGACAATTAAACACAAACCTGTATGCTGTTCTTTGCGGGGTGGAGAAAGAAACAGATGCACATCTCTTTGAGCAACACAACTTGTAACGACACGCGGCAGATCAAGACTGTACGCACAAATCCACCCTTCTGTGGAAGGTTGATCCGCATGCAGAAAAGTTAAAGCACCATCCCCAGGACCCGGCTGAGGTCTGGGCCCACAAAGGCCTGCAAGGCCTCGAATTTAGGGTGTCGGGATTAAAGCTTGGGTTAGGATGCTTCAGAGTTGGAGGTTTCGGCCGTCACTTTTGACTTTGTCGGTTTCAAGTGCAACCGAAGAGCTCGAGGCAGTTCTACAAGTAGGATTTCAGGCTCGAAACACGAAGATTCTAGTCCTAGGCTCTACTCAACCACAAGATGCGCGCGAACCTTTGGAAACCCCAGCACTCTAAACCCAAATTTACGACTTACGGTTGATGATATAAATCCTGCATTACCTTAAGGACCCTAAACTATGGGAAGTATGGCATATTCCTTGTTATGGGTAATGCAGGATTTATATCATCAACAGTATGAAGCACCCTTATGAATCCCAAAGCCCTACTGATGCCTGCTGTCCCTACAGATTTCAGAACTCCTCCACATAGCTCCTGAATATCAGCGCCTTAGCACTACGAATAGTGCTTCGTTGCAAAACGTAGTAGGCATGATATGTATCTATATATACACACATAACTATAAATGCCTCATACCTATAAGTATATATATATATATACATACGTGTGGGCACACATGAACATATACATATATATATATACATATAGAAATGTAATGGAACTTCAAGCAAGGGATAAGAACAAGTTTACAATACTTCACTAGAACATATTCGGCCATATTACGACCCTCCAAGAGAACAAAAACTCCTTTCGTTGGCCTGTCTCTCGGCCCAGGTCCTTCTTGAAAAGGTGGCTCCTAGATTGGCGGGCTTGCGGGCTTAGAGGTTTAGGACTTAGGTGTCTAATGTTTAGGGTTCAGGGTTTAGGGTTTAGGATGAAGACTCAAGTCCTTATGAGGGCTCTTGGGCTGAAAAATCCTTGAACGCAGGGGGCTTCAGACTTCGAGGATATCGGCTTCAGGGTTCCAGGCAAACTTTGGCTTTAGCGGTTCCTAGCAGTTTGGGTGGGTCCGGCTCTTGTTGGCCGGTTGTTTAACTTGATTGGCCGTTTTGCACCTTTCCCAACAGGCAACATGCTCAAAAGGCCTCTTCCCTCCAGCCCCAACCCTGCACCCTGGATCCCAAACTTTAAAACCTTACATCGCTTTACGTCCCTTACCGTGAACTACGAAATTCTGCGCACTTTGGGCACTTCTCCAATCGCTTCCTAGGCCCAAACTCCGCTCAGTGTGATATCGAGCGGTTGTAGGCCTACCAGTAGTTGCTGATATATCTACGTATATATATATATATATATACACACATACATACATATGTCATTATGTATGTGTAAATATATATATATATATATATATATATATATATATATTGATATATGTACATACATACATACTTCCATTTTTGGAGGGGGATGGGTGCGCGCTAGGATTCACAATCTTGGGGTCTGACTTCGGTCTTGCTATAAGCAGGCACAGACCCTCAGCCCCTAAACCCACTCGCACACGCGCATCCTTGAAAGCTGAATGGACACGCTCCGATCTCTGCATCCTTAAGGCTTCCACACCCCAGACCCTTGATACACTCAATGGCTGTAGGGTTTTAGGGTAGCGGATGGGGGTTTAGGTTTCGGGTTTAGGGTTTTTTTGACACTCACACTCGGACAAAGCCTGGCAAGGTTTAGGGTTTAGGGGTTTAGGGTTTTAGGGTTGTGTTTGGGGTTTACGCTCTCGCAACTCGGACATGCCTGACGAGGTCTCTGGTGCGTTTGGGGTTTAGGCTTTGGCGTTTAGGCTTGAGGCAGCTGGCTACCTCGGTCAGACGTCCCACGGCGACGGTGTTGGCCACTGATGTCCTAGGAAGCTTGAGGCCGTTGACGACTAAAGCTTCCGGGCTGGCCTGGGTTTCCAGAGTTTTGAGTTGTTTAGACTTGATGCCTTCCTCTTGATGCTCTTGGAGACGGAGGAGAATGAGTTGAAGCAAGCTCAACATCCATGAAGTGCGATCTGGCAATATCTTCACATCCAGTCATTTCCTTGAGCCGGGCCGCTCCCGGTCCCCTTAAGCTCCTCAACAACACCAAAGCTGGTTATAATGTTGCATCCATCCTTCCCTCCTTCCCCTCCATCCATTCATCCATACACACGTCCATGCAAAAGTATGAATATACAAACATACATAATACATAGTTACATACATACAGATATACAGAAACACATGCATGAAGATATAAAGCTGTCGAGGACTGTACATGATAGGTGGGAATAAGCCGGCGTGGGAAACCGTCCATGCATACGTGCATACATACATGCACCATACGCAGGTACATACATAGTTACATAATTCATGCATACATACGCTAGACTACATCTACGCTGTACTACATAGCATGACCTGGTCCTGTAGTTGATCAGACATAGCTGGCCGTACATCCACATAGACGAACAGAGACGTATGGTTCTTGCCCTCTGGGTGGATCTTGCTGCTGCTCAAACAAGAGAAGCCTGAACACTAATCAACCTCTCGCTCTCTCTCTGTCTGTCTCTCTCTCTCTCTCTCTCGCTCTCTCTCTTTGCTTTGCTTTGCTAGGGGCTTGGGACGGGAGCAGTCCTCCCGCCCCGCGCGGGTGCGCTGCCCCATCCATCATTTGGAATGGATGGGCTCTGTCTGTACTGGAACGTGTACTCCCGTTGTTCGGGAGAAGTGGTGGGTTCTCCCATGGTCGGAAAACAACGTCATGCAGAAGAAATAGGTGCAGCAAAAGTGTCCGACCATCGGGTTCCCCTCGTTACTGAAAGAAAGTAGGGTGGGGGTCCCCATTCGGCATCGTGGGACGCGATCCTTAAACCAAATAACAGGAAACATGTGTGCCGAGAGTGGGTGCCCCTGCCCTTCTGTACGGGTATCCCTGCCTGAACCTAACCCACCTTTCACGCCCTGCCTCAAACCGAACGGAAGCCTTATCCCAGCAGCACGACCTGTGACCTTCCGCTCAACCCTGAAACCTGCAAACTAAGCGTGTGCCCCTCTCTCGCTCTGTCACAAACGCAAGGTTAAAGGTTCTGTTCGAGAGAGTGGGCAACTGTAGGGTGCAGCGGGTCGGCCTGAGGGAGGTACACTTGGAGCAAGCACCAGCGTTAAGAAACCACGTTGAGTAGGCTAGAAAAACAGCGTGTGCCCCCCTTTGTGCCTGGCTTGTGCCGCGCTACCTTTCTTACCGCACTAACCCTACCTACCTGCCTGACCCTGCCTCACACCGAACGGAAGCCTTATCCCAAGTAGCACCTGCGACCTTCCACTCGACCCTTAAGCCTGACTGGTAGACGACAAAGTTGGTGCTCCGTTCTCACAAACATGCATGCTAGTAGGGGCCGTAGCTCGAGAACAGAAGGGAGCAGGTTTGACAGGGTAGGCCTGTGTGTCCCCGTCCTTAGTCGTCTGACAGGGCCGCTAGCAGCCTCCTACGCCGGTGGCTCACCGCCCTGGTGGGGCTCAGGTCTTCTTCGACTGGTGCTCCACGGTGAGGCGGGTCGGCCAGGTGTGGCGTTGCTGCGCACCACGGCAGTGTAGTTCCGGCTGTGTCGTCGTCGTCCTGTGTTGGTGTCGTCTGCAGGTCTTGTGCCAGGCCTGGTGCCCCAGCGTGTGGAGCGAGTGCTCCTGACGGTCCCGGGCCGCTTGGTGTCGTCGTCGGGTACTCCAGAGTTGGAGGTCCAAACCCTTCTGGTAGTAGGGCTTGTTGTGGCTCTTGTCCCGGGTCGTGGTCTCGTTGCTGTAGTTGGTCGCCTTCGTGTAGTAGAGGTCGTGGTTGTCCTTGTCCCGGATCGTGACCGCCAGGTTGGTGTTCTCCTCGTCGAGCCTCGTGTTCACCAGGAGGTGTGACAACTGGTCGTTGTCCTGCAGCTGCCGTTGTCGCCTCAGAGCCTTCGCTGTCAGTCACCACCAGTTGGACTGGTACTCCAAAGTATTGGGTCGACCACTGTTGAAGGTCGAGGACCGCCGTTTGTGCCATGTCGTGCATCTGCCCATGGAGGAATGGTTGCAAGCGGCGCAGCGTGTGTAGGGCTCGTAGTGGGAGCTCCGGTCTTTGGTCCCCCACTGTCGGCTGGCTTGGTGCACGCCCTCCGTGTGCGAGAACGTCAGCTTGGTGGGGTTCTCCTCGTCTTCTCCGTTTGGTGGGTGAGCTGGAGCAGATGCTTTCTGCTCTCTCCAGGTGTTCTTCGGCTTCGTGTGGTGCCCCCCAAGCTTCTTCATGGGCTGCTGCTGCTTCTTCGCACAAGTGCACGACTCTGTCAAGGCTGTCGTAGAAGTGGTGGGGTAGGGTTTGCTGTCCCGTGGTGGCTGCTATAACGTTGTTCATCAGCTCCTCCGCCCTGTCGGCCAGGTCCTCACCACGGTGTACATTTGCCCAGCAGCGGGCTGTTGCCTGGCTGTAGAACTGCTGGGTGCCTTCGAGCAGAAGGCGGTGTACTAGGCGCAAGTCTCTGACCGTGTCCGCGACAGAGTTGTGTGCCCCGGTTGCTTCTATTGCCGAGAGCATGTCCAGCTGCAGCTGGAGCATGTGGGCTGCCACCTGGTGTATGTTGGGTGGTGGTGGTGCAGTGTGGTAGTGTACTCGCAGTGGTTGTGGAGCTGGGTCGGAGCTGCTGCCGGCGACGGGTGTGTGCTCCTCCTGCATCTCCGTTGGCTGCAGTGCGATTATGCCCTGTTGGGCGTATGCCATGATTTCTCCGGAGTCGGTGCTGTCTAGAATGCGCAGCAAGCATCTGCGCGCTTCTGCCATGGCTGTGGCTGCTTCCGTGGTTGTGGGTGCACGGTATCGTGAGATGCTCCTTTGCATGAGCTCTGTGTGGTCTGTGTGGCTGTCGTGGTTGTGGGCTTTGTCGTGGCTGGGCCATGATTTCTCGCTGTGGTCCCCCGAGTCGGTGGTGTCTGCAGGGGGTTGTGCCTCTGTTCCACCTAGTCGGTGGATTCCAGGTGGGGGTGCTTTGGACCTGTGGGGGGTGGCTTGCCCCTGCTGCGGCTGCGGTTGTGGTTGCTGTGGTTGCGGTGGACGGGTGTCCTCAGTGTGCGGAGGAGGTTGCTCAGGCTGGTGGCCGTCTCGGTGGTCTGTGCTGGTGTGGGCTGGTTCTCCTCCTCTCTCTGCTTCTGGGCTGCTGCTGCTTGGCTCCTCCCCTGGTACGGCAGGTAACTCCAAGGAGTACCCGCCGAATTGTTCGAGGTGGGCATCTCGCCATGGATGCCATTGCCACGTCTGCCTGCTCCAAAGGAGAAGGAGGTGCTCCCCCTTTTGGTACCTGATGGCACCCTGGCTTATCGCCTTCGGCGCGTCCGCCACCCGAACATGCCATGCACGTGGCTCGCGGTTGTACAGCGGCCCCAGCGGGCAAAGGAAAAACGCGGTACCAAGGCCCACGTATTGGTGCATCGTGGGTTCTTGTTGGGTCACAACAAGTTGTGTGCCCGTGTGCCTCGGGATGTCAGGTGGGTTGTCGGCGATCATGTGCCTCACTGAGCCCATAAGCCAGATGCCTGCTGCCTCAGCGTGTGCCAGGTTGGCTAGTAGGGGCCCAACTGGCAGGGAGGGCGGGAGCGTCTGTGGCAGCTGTGTCTCCTCCGCGTGACGGCGCAGGAGGAAAAACTGGTTGCCCGTTCTCCAGTGGATGTCGTAGGTGTTGTGTCCTTCTGGTGGCGCCTCTTCTTCTGCTGCGGTGTCGTCTGGTGGTGTTGCTTGTGGCTGTGCTTCTGGTTCAGAGTGGGGCTGTGGCTGTGGTTGTTGTTGCGGGCGCTTTGCTGCCTCAGCGGTTCGCTGGGCCTCGCTCTGTGGTGGCTGTGGCTGAAGAGGTGGTTCTGGTTGTTGTTGTGGTGGGGAGCGGTGCCCTGGGTGGGGCACTTGTTGTGCACCCTGTGGTCGCGAGCTCGTTGGCTCTGGTTGTTGTGGTTGAGGTCGCGGCTGGTGGTGCGTGTCGTCTTGGGGCCGACGGTGTGGGTCTCCTTGTTGGAGTCGCCGTTCGTACTCGTGCTGTGCCGCGGTGTGCTGCTTGTCGTCGGTGGCTTGGCCGTGGCTGGGTGCTCCCAGTGTGGATAGTGGTTGTGGTCGTGGCTGCGGTTGCGATCCTCCGCTGTGTCTCTCTGCTGTGGCCTCCTCTTCAGCTGCTGCTTTGGTCTCTGTGGTTGCTGCGTGGGTAGAGTGGAGGTCGTGGGCTGGTGGTTGTTGCGGGTCCTCCTTTTGCTGTCTGCGGTGGTACTCCTCAGCTGCTGCTGTGCGCTGCTTGTCGCCTGGTGGGTCTGGTGCTCTGGCTTGGTGGCTGCTGCTGCTGCCTGGTGTGGAGGGCGGATCCTCTCCCCTCATCCAGGCGTCGGTTCTGCGCAGAACTTCGCGCATGTCGACATCTGGGATTGGCCCAGATGGCCTCTGGTGGAGGTAGCGGTAGAGTTGCCCTTCTGCTTCCAGCCAGCTCTGGCTGTTCGGCTTGTGCAGTCCGTGTTTTTTGAACTGCTGTTTCAGCCACTCTTTTTTGTCTCGAGTGGCTTGCCTTTGAGCGCCTTGTCCTCCTTGGCTGGAGAGTGGCTTGTCCTGTGGTGGTCGTGATGGCTGCTGTTGGCGTGGTTGTGGTTCCTGTGGTTGTGTCTCCCTTTGGAGGTGCTGGGTGGTCCCAGCTTGCCGAGGTGGTGGTTGTGGGTCTGCTGTTGTGTCGGCTCGTGGTGGCTGTTGGGGCTGAGCTGTGGCTGTGGCAGTGGCAGAGGTAGGGTGCGGGGGTTCCGCCCAGTCAGTGGTAGGGTCTCCTTGCCCGGTGTGCCAGTGCTGGTAGTGTTGTAAGGTAGGGGCAAGGGGCAGGGGAGAGAGTGTTTGTGGTGGATTGCGTAATGGCCGGTCAGTGGGGGCCATGTGTGTGGAAGTGGGGGTTGGTTGCTCTGCTGCAGTGGAGCGTACACGTCTGCAGTGCTCGTTGGTGAGTCGTCGCCAGGGCTGTTGCCGGAGGGGTGTTCCCCTGCCAGTGGTTGATGGTGGTTGTCGTGGGGGTGGTAGCTGTCGTGGAGCAGGTTGCTGGGTGCAGCTTGGGAGCTGGTGCTCCTTTGTGGAGTGCCGGTGTCTGACTGTGGTCGCCGTGTTGGCGGGTAGAAAGATTGTGTGGCGGTGGCCATGGTGTCCATGGTTGTCTCGGTGGCTTGGCTTGCTGTAGCTGAGGCTGTGGGGCTGCCGTCTGTTCCTCCTCTTGTGGCTGCAGCTGCTGTGTCGTCTGCCTCCCCGTGGGGTGTCACCGCAACGGGGGTTTCCACGTCCGTGGCTGCCGCTACGGCTGCCGTCGTGTCCTCCTCTTGGCTGGTGTCGTGCTGGGCCGGAGCGTTTGCTGCTCCCTCTTCGCCCCCAGTCGTGGGAGCCTGGAGTTGTTCGGCTGTTCTTGTGTTGCCAGGTTGGCGGGGTCGTCGAGCGGTGGTGTCGTCGGCTCCGAAACCGCCCGCGTTGGGTGGTCCGAGTCTCGCGGCGGGTCTCGCATAGGACCCGCCTTGTTCCAAAAGGCGGTAGCCCATCCACACGGCCACCAGAAACTGAAGTTTCATGGTGGCAAGCGGGTGCGCGTGTCAGGCTGAGGTCACTCAAGTTTGAGCTGCTCTGCGAGCTGCGGGTCAGGTGCTTTGTCCGTGTGCCGCTGCAGGTCGGCATGTCATGCACATGAAGGAAAATGCGTCACTGACTGAAGCTGACATTCATGCAAGGCAAACTGCACTGAAGAGAACATGTAGCTGAAGCGACTGAGGTTGGTACTCTTCACTCTCTGTCTGTCTGGTGGAATTTGTGGAGCTGTGAGTGGTTGCGAGAAACACTGTGAAACTTGCAGTCGTGTGGAGCTGTAATGTAGTGGGGCAGTGGGCGGTTGGGGCTGTGGGTGGTTGCGAGAACACTGAGAAACTTGCAGTCAAGAGGGGCAGTGACGCAAGGGGGCGTGTCTCGAGAAAGGCGGGGGGGGAGGGAGGGTTCCCGAGTGACTGTCGGGCTGCTCTAGCCTTCATTCGTGAGTGCTCGGGGTCGGTGGCGTGCTTGTTTGTGGCGCCGGTTGGGCGTGAGGTTTGAGATGGCAGCTTGTTTCCCTGTTGCCCAGGGAGTGTCATGTCTGGTGAGAAAGGCTGCGAGCCTGTGTTCCCACCCTGATCTGTCCTGTGCGACCTTCCACCATTCTGTGGAGCCCGCGTTGTTGCAAATGTGCCTTTCTGTGTCCATGAGCGGGTTGAACTGTCCTGCGTGTCGTGCTCCTATTCTGGGGTTCTTGCGCTGCTCTGCGGCCCACCAGTGCATGCCTCTCCAAGTGATGAGGTCAAGGGTGGTCTTGTCTTTCGACCTGCCGATGTGGCCCCACAGTCTCCAAATAGACTCCAACGAGCGGGTGCTCCATCGGGGGCATTCATGCTTGTGCAACAGGAGCCTCGCTTGCCTCATCGTCCTGCTGTTCCACGTAACCCAATCCTCTCCTGGCTGCCGTGGCATCTTGAGCATGGTACGAACCTGTTGCAGCTGTATGGTGTTGGCTGCTCGTAGGAGGCTGTCATGTATCGGCCAAGTGGGTGCTCCCCAGAGGGCAGCTTCGCGTACGATGGCAGAGTGGACCTTGAGTCTACTCGACAAAGGTGTGTTCGCGCAAAGTGTCTTGCGGTTGGCGTAGAACGCTTTGCGAGCCCGGGTCGACAACTCGGCAGCCAGAATGGCTGCTCCTCCGGCGAAGGATACAGGTGATCCCAACACAATGAGGGCGTGTTCCGGTCCTTCTGTAGGGACCTCGTGTCCTCCCACAATGAAGGTGTAGCTGCCCTCGTTGGCAATGGCACAGGTCTTCTTGTGGTTCACGTACAGGCCGTGCTCCGCAAACAGTTTCTCCAGGATGGTCATCACTTGTTGCACGTGTCGGGGGTTTTCGCCCCACACGTACACGTCGTCCATGTACCCCGAAGTGTGGTGCGGGGGGGGCGGCAACTTGTCATCAGGTCCCCAAGCACTGATGGTGACTTGGGATTGTGTTTTCAGGAGCGTGTCGCCGACCAACGCGGAGAAGGCAACTGGGGAGTCTGGTCCTCCTTGGCGTACGCCGTTGCTTTGGCTGATCTTGACGCTGGTGCCTCCAAACTGGATGTTCATCTCTGTGGCATGGAGTAGGGACAGCCAAATCCGGGCCTCCCACGGGTGCCCCTTTTTTCCTATGTTCTCCAGCACCAGGTTGGCCATACTCGTCTGAGTAGCCGAGTCGAAAGCCTTCTTCACGTCTATCTTCAGTATGAAAAAGGGTCCACCCCAATCACGTGCCATCCTTGCGATCTTTCTGATCGCCAAGAGCATCTCCACGGATTGTTTCCCACGGGCGCACCACTGTAACTTGCACACCGGGTCGAAGAGATGTTGTGTGCGGTAGAGGACGAGTTGTGCAATCCACTTCAGCATGGCCGAAGAAATTGTGATAGGTCTGGTTTCTGGCCATCCATCTGGTGCCCCAGTTTTGGGGAGAAGCACCGTGACTCCTTTCTCGAGGAGTTCCGGGAGTGTGCCCCGGTAAAAGGCGTCGTTGAGGACGTACAGAATTCTGTGAGTCCATTTGTCGTCGGTGAGGAGTACCGACAAAGCCTCATGGATAATCCCGTCTGGTCCCGCAGCCTTTCTTCGTGGCCATCGGCCCGCCGTGATTCGTAGCTCGGCCAGCTGGAAGGGGTGCCACGGCGTGTTTTTGCAGATCTTGGCGAGCTCGTCCCTCATGCACCTCATTTGTGTCGCTACGCATTGTGGGTCCTCCTTGTAGAAGATGCCCTCGAAGTGTGTTCTAAGGGTGGACTGCCAATTCGCGTCATCCAGGAGGTAGTGTTCCCACTCTCTTGTGCGGGCAAGTTGTTTTTGCGCGCGGTAGGCACGCCAGTCTTTTTTGCTGGCTGCCTCGTTGAGCTTTCTCTCTCTCTCTCTCTCTCTCGCTGGCTCACTCTCTCAACCCTACAAACCCCAAACCTCAAAACCTTTTTCGGCTACTGGATTCAGGGTTGAAACCCAAACCCCAAATCCTTGATGTTGCTCAAAGGACCTAAACCCTAAACCCCTAGATCCTCCGCAGCTTTCTACCTCCAATGCTCAGTGCCAGGCTGTGACCGAGACACCGAGGCAGGAGCCTCGCCCCCACGCCGGGACAGTCTTTTTTTCTCCCTCCTATTTAGGGGGGTTTAGGGTTTAGGGTTAGTCGTTTAGGGTTTAGGCTTTTACCTTAACCTACCACAACCTACCAATTCTTGGTAGGGCCCCTACCCTATAAATCCCATAGTAGGTTTTATGATAGGAACCTACAAAAACGTAGGGTTTGGTAGGTTAAGGTAGAGTTTAGCAGTATCTATACATTATCATCAACTGTATGTGTATAAAAAATGTGTATATATATATACACACACATATATTCCTATGCTAATAAATACTATGTACATTTCGACAATAGTTGCCTACTTGACTGTCTGTATCTACAGACTTATGTATATATTCATTTATTTATCAAACATGCGTCTATGCTCGCAATTATATGTCACATATCATAGACTACCCGTTATATTATACTCGGAAATGTTGAATTACATTATACTTTCTTATGTCATGTTACATTTTCTTGGTGCTGTTATCGTCGCGTAATATGTTTCGTGGTGGTGCGGGGGCTTAAGGTTAAGGCTCTGCGGGGCTGGTGTTCGAAAACCATGGATATGTACACGGTTCTTGCTATTTCCAGAAACGTGTTGATGGGGCATCCATGACTTCGGAAGGTTGTTATTCGGCGGTTTACCATGGATAAGCTGTAGGGTTTGGACCTAAGCCTTAATATTTATAGGGGCCTTAATAATTAGAATAGGGTTTCGGGCGCATTATACTTTCATTATAATACGGAATCACCAAAATGGTTCAAGTACCTATTCAGGCCCCTATACCCTGCGGCTTATGAGATGTTCTCTGGAGGTAGGGCCGAAAACAAAACGCCAAATACATGGATGCAGTGCTTAATGAAAGCAGGGAACTCTGAGACTCCAAGCAGAACGGCCGTAAAACATAATAATAGGTACTTGGACTATTTTGGTGATTCCTTATTTTAATGATAGTATCATGGGCCTCAAACCCTATTCCAATTATTAAGGCCCCTATATTAACCCTTTAAAACAGAATAAACTCGAAACCCCCCTGTAAGGATTGCAAAAAGGTTTCAGTAACGATTCGTCACAAGGATTCCCCTAAACCCTAAATCCGATAATGGTTCTTCAAAAAGCACCTAAAACTCAAAACAATCTCTAAACCCTATAACGGTTCTTCAACAAACTACCTAAAACTCAAAACAATCTCTAAGCCTTATCATGGTTCTTGAAAATCTTGAAAAATGCCTAAAACTCAAAACAATCTCTAAGCCCGGATCTGCAAGCCAGACATGAATTAAACACTCGCTGCGGACGGCTAGTGAGGCCGATAGAGCCTGAGGGGCTTACCTACGGGCCCCAAAATAGTTCCTTTTTGGGGTTCATATATAGAATCCTATAAGGTAATCCCAAAAAGGAACTACTTTGGGGCCTCTGGGTAAGGGCGGACACATGTAGGGCTTGGAGGGCTCTCTCTCCCTAGGCTCGAGAGAGTTCATTGGCTCTGCATTTTAACTCAGCAGCTTAGCCAACCGCCGGCCCTGCGCACTTTTCACCGGCCCTCCACACTGCACAGAGTTTGATGCTGGATTGCGCGCGACAGCTCTTAAGCCTTAGCTCTAAACCTTAATTATAATCCGCTAAATCCAAACGGTCATCCTGAAGGCAACGCTTCTGCGGCAATCCCAACAACGAAACCGGGAGATAGCAAGCCCCCTCTGGGACAACTGATGCAGGGTGCCACCTTCACGGTCACACCTTGAGCAGAAGCTTCGTAAGCTAGCTCTCGTAAGCCGTCGTATCCAAACCTTTCGAACCTTCCAAAAACATGATTCGCCCTGCCGGGTCTTAAAAAATGAGAAGCTGAAGCGTTGGAGCATGAATGGCTTGACGTGCAAAGGATCGTCACTAGTTAGTCCCAATGACAGCAGTGTAGTCAAGCTGCAAGGGGTTGAACACAGAACACTTCACACTGTTAACTTAGGCGCAGAATACTCTTGCGCAAATTTGTGAACCTTTTGATTTGTAGTAGGATTCAGAAAAGCCCAGAAGGTTAAAGGTCACCTACTCAGCTACTAACGTAATGCTTCAAGCACCAGCGCTTCAGACAGTTTGTGTCAATCCTCACCGCCAGGCGGACAAAAACCGGCCCGATTGTTGGATTAGTCTCCATGCACAATCTGGAAGCTGGGATCCTGAAGGGAAACCCAACTGTTCGCGTTGTCCGGACAGACGTTGTTGTGAAACATGATCCCAAAGGGTCCAAAGTACCCATATAGTAGAATGTAGGGTTTCTTTATTAGGAACTACTATTACTATGATTTGGGGAAGTATTCCCCATAGACCCTTTGAGAATTGCCTTGTGACAACACTCTCTGGCCAATGGCATGCTTTCAAGCAACTCGCAAGGAATTGAGAAACCCGAAGCATCCCGAAGCCCTATACCCTGAACCCACAAGCCTACACCCGAATATAGGGGCCTTAATCATTCGAGTAGGGTGTTGGGGCCCACTGTACTATGATTATAATAAGGAACCTCCAAAATAGTATTGGCAACTCTTTAGGCGCCTTGTCTTAAACCAATCGAAATTCAGCCTTCGCTATCAGACCCACGACCAGTCTGCAGAAAGATCGTGTGAGAGTTTCCGAAAATAGGGGACCGTAATATAGTACCATAAATAGTAGGATCCTCATTTTAAAGACCCCAATTGTAATCATAAGCTACCCCCTTTTTTCGGAAACTCCCGTGCGGAGGCCCATAAGCCATGCTCCAGCGACTTTACAATGGAGACTACAGGTAGGGACTCAGGCTGCTTAAGACTTAATCACGGTATTTAACATGTCTTCGGCCAGAACAGTGAATGAACAATTTCGAATCTCATGATCGAACTTGCTGTGCCCCACGCTCACCTTCAGCCCATACACGCCGAAAGCCTCAAAGCTCGACTGCTTCAAGGTCCGGGTTGCAAATTGCCCTCGTCGCGACGTGCATGCTGTGGGAACCAGTCGAGCGCCCGGCTGAGCACAGCTGCGGCCTCATCCCGTGTGCACGATGACAAAATGTGCTCGTGATGGGCATTCGGATTCTCGGCAGCATGTGCACTCATGTTTATCACATACGGTGGCCGCAGGCTGAGGTCATGCTTCTTCAGGTCCTCGAGCCATGTCTCGTCGCCCAAAAAGACAACGAAGGGCAAATTCTCGTTGTATCTCTGTGAGTTGAACAAGGCTACACGGAAGTCACGGCGAGTCCAACACTCGAAAGCGTCCTGCACACCCAAGGCTTGAGCATGCGCCTGGAAGATGAAACGCTCATAGTCATATCCTCCAGCTACCAGGACGTCCAGCTTGTCCTTGAAGTTTGGTCGTTGATTTCCCTCGGTCCCGGAACGCTGTGCGACCACAGCGCTGCCGGTACCGCCTTCATTGCCTTCAGCTGTGGTCGAATCCCCTGGATCTGCCTCGCTGATAGCGGGCAACATGCCGTCCGATTCAGTGACAGCAACCCGCACCCCTCGAGCCATAGCCCTGCCGGAGGACGAGAGTGTCCTTTGACCCAGCCCTAGGAACAGAGCAAGTCTTAAAAGAGATAAGCAAACAAACGAGCATACGAGCAGTAATAGCAAGAGTAATGCAAAGACAGAAATGAATGAAAATAACAGTGTTATCATGACCAGTCTTGTGAATACCGAACCGAACCGAAACCCTCAACCATCAATGGTCTTCGGAACTCTAACCGAAGCCACAGCGCGACCAACAAAGTGGCTCGGCAGGGGCCAACATCTCGACTACACGGGCCTTAATAATTGGAATAGGTTTTTGGGGTATATTCTACTATAAAATATAGGAGCCTTGATAAGAACAACCTTTACGATTTTGCAGGTTACATATTATAGTTATAGTTACTATAACTATAATGTGTAACCTGCAAAATCGTAAAGGTAGTCCTTATCAAGGCTCCTATATTACACTGTTGCTTCCAGTGGTCTGTGCGTCTGCAAACCTGAAGCAAACCCTACTTGCACCACCCGAACCCAAAAGATCCATGTACCCAAATAGCATATCTCAGTTGCTGAGTTCATAAGGCCCCTAAAAGTGTAGACTTTCAGTTTTATAAGGGTAATATTATCCCCAAAAGTGTAAAGTGTATCCACTCAGCTATTAAGATATACTTAGCCCTGTATTGGTACTTTGGGGGCGAGTATATACTCTTTGGGTACATGGATCCTTTGGGGAAGCTGTTGTCCCAAGCAAACCTCTCACAGCGAAACACAACGCCGATGCCTCCCTTGGCTGTGAGATGGCCGGCGCCGTGGACAAGGCAAGATCACCGTGGCAAGTACCTCTGCTATGGGTTTAGGGTGTAGGGTTCTGTTTCGCAGGGTTGAGGGTTTTTGCAAGGGTTGGGGTTGGTTGTTGTAGGGCTTTTGGAGCTTGCGTGGGCTTGTGGCTGAAGGGTGTATGATTGGTGCCCAAAACTTGGCCTGACTGCACCGCAAACTGGCGTTGGGACCTTGGAGTCACGCGCCGGGTTTCGGGACGGCGACAACTAGCAGGTGCAAGGAACAATCACAAATCCAGTGCAGCTATCAGTGGCTGTAAGCTCACCAAAAACCAGGTGCTTCCTGCGCACCGCCCAAACCTCAGACTGCACAAATTCCTTTCCTGGTCGTCGCCATCATGAGGATGGCGAACCAGCATTGCGATCTTTATTATGGTGAGCTTCCTCATCAATGCCAGCATCTGCAACAAGCATGTCGCCATCACAGTGATGATGATGATGACAACTACCCACCCCCAGCAGAACCATGACCGTGAAGATGAAGATTCTGCTCGCCACCATCCCCGTGCTTATCTGATGCTCCAGTAATGATCCAGGCAACATGTGTGAACATCCTTTGTCCTTAAGGGTCCATGTACCAATAGAGTATATACAATGGCCCCAAGGTACGCAGAAAGGGACTACTTTAGGGCCAATGTACATACTATATGGGTACATGGACCCTCAAACCCTAAACCCTTGACGTACCTTTATAGCAACCCTTAAAGGAACCCCTGTTTGGGTACGTGGACCCTTCAGGACACAGGATCACCCTGTGCGTGGTAACCTCGAAGGCCCAGACTTCTGTCTGGTTCTGAGTAGGGAATGGGGAAAAGGATTAGGGTTTAGGGTTTAGGGATTTAGGGTTTGGGGGTTTAGGGTTTAGGGATTTAGGGGTTTAGGGTTTAGGGATTTGGGGTTTAGGGTTTAGGATTTCCGGTTTAGGATTTAGGGGGCTTTTAGTGGGGATCCCTAAGGGTCGATGTACTCATATGGTGTATACGTTGGCCTTAATGTAGTCCCTAGACAAGTACTTCGAGGCTCATGTATCTCTATGTGGGTACATGGACCCTTAGGGGATTGTATAGGGACTACTAGAGGGATCCATTCCCGCATTGCCTCCTAGGCTGAGTAACTATAGGGTTATACTGTACCTGCAATGAATTATAACCCCAGATAAGGTATTTTTGTGACCCCAAACCCTACAACATAGTAGGTTATGACCCCTTAACACCGCGAAGGCCAGATTTTCAAACTGGCAGGTCTCGCCTTCCACAAACCCACAGCTGCCGGCTTTGAACGTCTTGCATCCTACTTGGAGGATCATGGGACTTGGTAAGTAGGGTTATAAGAAAGGTAACTGTAGTTCTATCTACTTATAACCCCAATTAAGGTACTTATAACCCTACTTACTAAGTCCCAAGAGCCTCCGAGTACACTGATTCCCGTGCGACCCCGGCATTACAGAGGATGTGGGGCTTTGGGTGAAGTTTCTTGAAATCTCAAACTGCGATTTGGAAATCCCAAGCCTGTCAAGCTTCTGACGAGCGTTTACCCACAAGACATGTGAAGAGGGTCACCAAGTGGTGACCCACCACTTTGCGGAAGAGGTTCCTGCGGCAACGCTGTAGTGCTTGGGGGATTGGGCGCGTCTGGCTAAGAGCTGCGTGTGTTCTGTGTTCTGGTTCGGGACCCCGTAGGGCGGATTTCGCTGCCCCATTCGTATTTACAACGCTCGATCTATGTGTCTGGCGCGCGAGATAGAGAGCCAAGCAACCCACGTGCTCACACACAGAGCACTCTGACCAAAAGCCCACATGGGTGAAGGTGGATGTGGGATGAATCGGGTATGTCGGGTCGCCGCGCTCAGAGAGAGATGCTGTGGGGCTTGGGATGCCCCAAAGTCTGAACTATACTGCACCTAGAACCCTAGCAAAAATTTTCATTTTTGCTGTTTCTTAAGGACTATAAAAAGCAAAAACTAAAATATTTCTAAGTACCCCCAAGTAAAGGAGAGCTTGGCCAAATGGTCCGACGTACGACCTGGCACTGTTCAGGCCGAGTTTCGCGAAGGGTCCGAAGTACCTGATACTTCTGTTACTTATGTAACCACTGGGGTTCAGCACAGTGATGTAGGTTAGTGGTTGGGGGATTCTACGAATTTAGACTTGCAAAACTCAGTGAAAACTTGTATATAGATCAGATGGGTATCTGCTGCCTTTTGTGTTCTGTCAAACAGGAAATTGCCAGACAAGAACGGACTACAGAAAGAAGCCCAAAAGTTGGAACGCCAATAGCCTCAGTCCTTAAAAGTAATGTGTAGGGAATCCCAGCACTATTTGGCCTTAATCTGGTTTCCAACTTTTTGGGGTTTACTGTAGGGGTGTTAGGGGCTAATTTGTTGCGAAACCTGTGGGTTAGGCAACCTGAATTGTCAACGCTTAACAGCCCTCGGGTCTTCATAACCCTAGGGGTCCAAAGTACCCATATAGTAGAATGTAGGGTTTCTATGATAGGAATTACTATTATGATTTGGGGAAGTATTCACCATAGCAGTACCTAGGACCCTTTGGGTAATAAAGCAAAAAATAACGGAGCACACAGGAACATCTTGCATAAAGACCATCTTGAACACAGCGTAAACCCTACAAATCCTAACGCTTACCACTGCACAACAGAAACCTAAGAACCGCCCAGTTGTCCTCTTCGGCGCAGCGTTGCTCCCAAAGCTTCCGGATGCTGCCAATTCCATGCCTAGGCGTGTTTGGCCCCTTAATGTCGAGGCTTTAGGTTTCTGCTGTAAGGGCCCACGTGCCTGAGAGTGTTATGTATGTAAATGCATATATATATATACACACATATATATATATATGTATGTATGTATGTATTTACATGTATGCATGCATGTATGTATGTATGTATCTATGCAGGTACGTCTGTGCATATCTGTGCATGAATGTATGTGTATATGTGCATGTATGTATATATGTACGTATGTAAACAGTTATGATTGTATGTGTTTGTCTTGTGTGTGCATATATAGAATTATGTATGCATAGATCGTCGAAATTCTCTTCGGCCTTTCTTCTAGTCTGTGGTAGCTCTGTGTTTCGCACGAGGGCACTGTACGTTCGCAGGGGAAAGTTGCTAGAATATAAGAACACGAAGCTGGCATGGTCCTCGTTGGAGGCTCAACAGTCTTTGGGGGTGGCGCGGAATGGCACACGATGACAAGTACCACGTCCACATGCTTGTGCTTGCAACAGGCAGCGCGATGATCCCCACACCCCGTTTGAGGAGTTTGAGGTGCGGACAACACAATGTTACAAAACCATGTCTGAAAGCCTGCCCCAAAACCCTTATCGAATGACATGGTCGCTGAACCCGACCTACACGACTTAAAGTTCGGGTTCCCATGCCCTACCTATAGTCTCCATTGCAGCTCCTTCTTCGGGGTTGCCTTATAGGATCCTTAATATATAATTGGCTAAACCAGAAAAAGGAACTACAGTGGATACCATGGGTAAACACTACTGCAAAAGCCTTTTGGATCGCGGGAACCGAACAGAAGCAACTGAACCTTCGAAGCCACCAGCCCGCAGAGGATAAGCATCCAGCGGTATGACGGCAAGCTTCTCACCTTCCCACAAAGGGTTTAGGGTTTATAGGGTTTAGGGCACAAGAGCCTCAACATGCTGCTGCTGGACGAAAGTTACTCGTAACGGCAAGAACGTGCTTGCTCTCCGCCCTGTCGGTCAATTTTTGGCTTAACCATCTTTTTATATTTCGGATCCTATATATGGGAGTTTCCGAAAATTGTGGACCCTAATAGAGTACCCTAGGTCCTTATGATAAGGACCTCAAAATAATGTAACTAATGTTCGGAAACTCCCATATGTGGTAACCCAGAGAAGGAACCTGCATATAATGGAGGCTCTAGCAAGCTTTCCTTGAGCCTTCCTGCTTTTCACGGGTTTTAGGTTGCAGGGTTTAGGTTTTGGGGTTTTGGGTTTCGGGCAAAGACCCGCAGGAAATCACACAAGACACTCGAAAGACCCAAACCAAAACGGATTGAAATCTCTTGGGGTTGAACTTGCTATCCATTCGGTTCCGACAGCCTTACGGTGGCCATGCAGATGTTCGAAGAGAAGGGGTTGCAGATACGATCGCCCAGAAACCTGAACCCTCATCCGGAACTCCACGCCGCAAACTCGAAACCCGAAACCCTTGAATCCCTCATATCTTTCAACCCTTGTTGAAATCTAAACCACGAAACCCCTAAACCGTAAACCCCTTGAACCCCAAACTCTTACGGCCACAGTTGAAGTCTCCGGAAGCAATATAGGGTCCTTAATAATTAGAATTGGGTTTGGGCCCGTTATATTATAACTACAATAAAAGCCACCCCAAAACAGTGTAATCATATAGGCCCTGACACCAAACCGCAGTTGAAATCTACGGAAGTAATATTCGGGGTATCTTATTTTGGGTCCTTTCATAGGGCTCCTACTATTTCGGATAGTATGTTAAGGTCCCCGATTCTCGGAAACTCCCAAATCTCCGGAAGCAAACCAACTATAGATCTCTCAAGGAACCCTAAAGAATCCCTTATAGACCCCTTTAAGGAACCCGTTAAAGGAACCCTAAAGAGATCCCGTGTAGACCCCTTTAAGGAACCCCTTAATGGAACCCTAAAGAGAATTCTTATAGACCCCGTTAAGGAACACGTTAAAGGAACCTTCAAGAGATCCTTTGTAGACCCCTTTAATCAAAGGGGAAAAGGAGGGACCCTTAACGGGGACCCCTATAATGGGCTATATACTGGGTATAAAATAGCTATATTCAGGGTATATACCTCGGGGTCCTTATTAAGGGTCCCTCCTTGTACCCTTGGATTTGGATTTAAACTAGACCCAAGAGTAGCCAAGGAATAAAAAGGGTGCCCTTTTTGGTTTAAAGGGGCTTATAAGGGAACCTGAACCCCCAAAAAAGGGAATAAGGGCCTACTCTAGGTCCTAGGTTAGAAGCTGCCCCCACCCTGTAATAGTGGTATAATAGGAATATAATAGGGCCCGAGTATACTCCTTATAGTCACTCAGGGTGGGGCCGCTTCTAAGGTTTAGGGTTCAGTCCGAGTAAAGGAACCCGACCTTCGACTTCGGCCGTTGTGTCCCGCTCCGCCTGGCGGACCTTCCAGACTCGAGGATCTTTAGGGTTTAGGGGTTTAGGGGTTTGGGGGTTTGGGGGTTAAGGGTTTAGGGGTTTAGGGTTAGGGTTTAGGGGTTTAGGGTTTAGGGTTTAGAGCCTATAGGGTTTAGGGTTTAGGGCCCATAGGGTTTAGGGTTTAGGGCCGATAGGGCTTAGGGTTTAGGGCCCTTTTCACTTAAGGGAATAGGGTTTGGGGATTTAGGTTGATAGGGCCTGGAGGGTTAAGGTTTGGGGGTTTAGGGGGTCTCTCGGAATTCAGGGCCTAAAGGGTTTAGGGTTGAGGAGGTCTCTCGGAATTCAAGGCTTAGGGTTGAGGGTTGACTTAGACTAACCAATCTACCTTTACAAAAGGGATATTATGACCTCAAAATGGTACATATGCCTTTGTTTTTAAGGTACCTTGATTACTGTTGGTGGGGGTCAAACCTTTCACTGACTTGCATGGTTTAGTTCTCGGCTCAGGCATGTAAAACAGATTCCCGTCGTCCCTTCCTGGGGTGTTTAGGGTGGGGGTGTCCTAGATTGAGGGGCCTCTTTTTGAGGGTATGTTCAGGGGCCGCGATCTGCGACACAGGCAAATGAAACTGTCATTGGGTGTCCGTGGGCTTCTAGTGTAGGCCATCAACACCACAAGTGTTCCCCAACGCGCAACCGTAAAGCCCGGAACCTACAGCTGTCAGCACTGGGAAGAACTTACAAAGCCATGCGGCGGAATCTCGTTTCGGAGTTTCAACTCTCGTATGGCCATGGGCGATGGGCATTGAGTTTTGGGCAAACCCCACTAAGGAACTTCCGATTGACCCAGACCCAGACCTCGGAATATCATTCCTCAGTGTTCCTTCCTAGAACTATGACATAATCTGGACTTTGAACTAACCAGCCAGGGAAGAAAAAGGTATAGACTTTGATGTCATAACGGTTCCTTCAAGGAACAGGTACCAAAACAAAATATTCAAGTATGGTACTCCAAACCCAGGTAATCCACCCCAGAACCCTACAAAGACCCGAAGCTGCGTCTCCGGCCAGGTTCGCCACGGGGGTGGCTGGAAGACGACCGAAAGGCCGCACCGCCGCGCCGAAGGGTGCGCAAGGCCTGGGCGGCTTTTTGGCAAAGGGTATAGCGGGTTGGTTCAGCATTTGGAATGCTTTGATGCTCGATGACGGCACAGGCATTGCAATCAACCACCGCTGTCTTTGAACATGAGGGGCTTTCTCTCTGAGCTTTTGGTTGGTTCCCCTTCTCATTGTTATCGGGTCCTATAGCCAAACAGCAGTAGGTCGGAACGTGAAACTACATCGCAGAGGAGAGACAACCTTCGTCTGTCGGCCGCTTCATGGAGATGATAGCCACGTTCCCACCCAGAGGGTCCTATGTACTGCCATGGGGAATACTTCCCGAAGGCATAATAGTAATTCCTAATATTTAAACCTACACTATATCGGTACATAGGACCCTTTTTTCCCAGAAGGATCTGGCACCACATGTCTAAACCCTCGATCCTAAGCCTGAGCCCCGAACGATAGAAGCCTAAGGGGATATCTGATTACTATACCCTAAGGGCCATATAGAGATACATGAGCCTCAAAGTACCTGTATAGGGACTACATGAAGTCCAATGTATATACTATGTGAGCACATGGATCCTTAGGGATAAGGGGCCTGAATAGTTAGAATAGGGTTTTGGGGCCAATTGTACTATGAATATATTGAGGAACCCCCAAAATTAAAATAGTATACGTAGCTATTCAGGCCCCTATATTACCTTCACTTCCTAAGCCTTCTTGTTCATGACGCGCTTCTGGAGCTATCCAGAAACACATCAAGCGAGCGCGGCAAAGCTTGTCCAGAGTAACAATCAGCAACACACAGCCCTCATTGCGTTTGCGGATAAGCAGCTTCTTCTTCATTGCAGGGCTCCCAAGGACGGAGCTCTAAGCTGCTTGGACGTGGTGCTCTTATCTTTGGGTTGAAGGGATTGTTGGCATGACAGATTGAGAGTTCGCTTTCGGGGTTTAGAGCTTGTGGGGTTAAGCATTTACAGTCTGTGGGAGCATGTAGTTCGTTTACATGGCATCGTTGCATGGCGACCCAGAGTTGAAATGAGCCTATTCGTGGGAACCCTACCTATAGTCTCCATTGTAGTTCCTTTTTTGGATTATCCGAAATCTAAAATGTAGGATCCTAGCCATTAAATTGGTTAACCAAAAAAGAACTACAATACGTCCCCAATGTCGACGAACCTTGCTGCGAGCCAGGTAGCTGGTGGCCTGTAATTACCTTGGGACAGCAGTGTGCCGCCGGGCCTTGAACAAGTTCTTTAAACTTACCTCTGACTTTGTTTGGCTTGCAGAAAGGATACCCATTTTCCCAAATATGGGCATCATATGGACCAAGCCAGATTGGGCCAGGCTTTCTGTACTCGTTCGTGTGATCTGGCCAAGCCAGGTTTACGGTTTAGGGCTGAGGTTTAGCAGCGTGGGGCAGGATGGAGAAGAGGGACGCTCTGGAAGCATAACTAGTTTTCCAGACCCCCTAATATCGTACCCTAAATAGTAGGATCCTTATTATAAGGACCCCAAAACAGGGCACCCCATCCCCAGACTCCTCTGCAGACTTCATGGAACGACCTCTCACAAAAAGGCGGCCTTGACCCAACAAAGGCTCTAGCCACGGCTCGCTCAGACAGGGAAATTTCGGAAGTTTACTATCCGCCCCACAGCACTGCTTGACAAGACTATAACTTTTCATGCATGAGCACCAGGCTCAACACTCCGGAGTCTTCTTGGAAACAAAGAGCTTCGAACAATGGCATCTGAAGAACTTACTGGGACGTCTTTCCTAAACTGTTCTCAGCCATGCAGGCCCTCCTAGAACGTGCCAAGCTTTCCTATCTCAGCCTATCCCCCTTAGGGGTCCCTGTACTGTACCCCCAAATAGTATATACTTTGGCCTTAGAGTACTCCCTATATAGGCATTTTGGGCCCAAAGTATATACTTTTCGGGTAGATGGACCCTTAGGGATCCTTGAGCTTTGCGGGAACAGCCTTCCAGCTTTGCGACAAGTTCAATTCTTCCTCGTGTTCGCAAGGTGGACTTGGACTTGCACACGCACAGAGGATCCCCATCCCAACTATAACCTAATTAGGGGTCTAAATAATTACCAGTACTATTCTGGTGGTTCCTTAGTTGAATGGAATATACCCTAAAAACCCCATAATTACTAAGTACTAAGGCCCCTATATTATATAATCAGTTGCCAGCACATGGTGTTGGAGTCTCAGACTCTGGGAACTCTCGCATCATACTGCTTTTTTACCCTCTCTTGCAGCAGCGCACTTCTGATCCTCACGATGCTGCAAGGCTGATCCACGCCACAAGGGCGAGTGCGAAGTCGATTCTGAGTTTCGGTTCGGGCGTTGTAGGCGTGAGGCTTAATTAAATCTCTGGTGCGAAGCTGGCTTTCGAATCCTTCGTTTCACAGAGATGCAGCGAGAAGTGCTCCGTTGGAAACAATAGCAGGTGCATCATCGAGCTTGTGGAGTTGAACATAATCAGCATGTGTTTGGTGCGTCTGCTAAACTTCTGCGCATGTTCTGAAGGAGCTCCCGCCAGATGTGAAGGTCTCGGAGCTCTGCACTGCAGAGGCGAGTGCACAACACTGGGCGCCTTGATCCGCCCGGCTGCGACCGAACAAACTCCTAGGTCCAAGGCCCTGGGCTTCAGACTGAAAAGCTTTTTGTTTAAGACCTCGAGCTTGTGAAGTAAATGCTTCTCATGCAGGAAGTCTCGTCGATGCACTGAAATGCATCCTTCAGTCTTTGACATTATGTAGATGGTTCACATTGGGCAGGCGGTTCAAGCGAGCTTCAGATTGAATGCACTCCATGGCATCGCTGCCTCATCTCCGCCGCCTGCGCAAGGCGACAGGCAAGCACCGCACCAACACCCAGAACTCTGCTACTGCTAGTCACTGCGAGTACTGCTGCTCCTTCGAGGGGCTGCCGATTCTTTAGGAGGGGCGTTCATTCCAGTTCATGCCCGTTGTCCCCGCCCTGGGCCCAGTCTGGGAGCCCGGCGACCGACTCCTCGACCGTTCTTTTCGCCGCGGCGTTCTGGATCGATCTCGCCGGGGGCTTCTTGATCGATCTTTTCGCGGTACCTCGGCAGCGTTTGGGGTTGGATTTAGGGTTTAGGGTTTAGGGAGCGGACCACCAAGAACTGCTGAAGTGATGAGGCAAAGGATGTTTAGGCCGAGAACGGCGCACATCACTTCAATCCGGTGGGTCTCTTGCAAGGTCGCTGGTCATGTATAACACAGGCTAACAATCCTCTTGACTTGCTCTCCGAAAGCACCCTTAAACCATTGCGCAGATCTGCAACTTCATCATAGGTGGATGGGTCGCGGGAGGATAGGCCTGAGGTACGGCTCAAGTAGCAATACCAGCCGGAGCTCACATCGCCGTGAACAGTGTAGGTCTTCAACAAGGTACAAGACGTGCACACGCGACACAAAAACTTGAAGTGGCAAACAAGGAATGGGCGTCACCTTTCTGCTCCGAAACCTGCCCTGGTTTCGGAAGGGATTAGGGCTTGCTTTGCCCACCGCCCAGCTGGCCCAAGTCATCCCAAGTCGCACGGCCAGGACATTCGTCCGCACTGAAGATCAGGGTTTAGTAAGGTAGAAGGTTTAGGAGGTTTTTGTTTAAGGGTGAGGGTTGGGATCAGTTCGAACACCCAACGAGCTCGAAAATCCAGGTCACTGAGCCCACAACCCCTTTCCCTCAAAACACAAATTCTGAAAACCTAACTATCGTGAAGGTGCAAACACTCAGAATTAACAAACATTTAAAAACACACAGAGTCCTAACCAAACCGACCGTAACTAGAACAAAGACCTTCATCGAAAAGAAAAACCATGGAAGCGCAGCGAAGGAGAAGCTCAGACAAAAACACCCCTACACGATCTCATAACACAGCCAGACCTGAACAACCCCTAGAAAGCTGTGAGCAACACCGCCCTCAATGCGGCGAAAACACTGCAGCCACCAAACCCGAAGCTCGAAACCACAACTCAACCTAAACTAATACAGTAAAACAGACAACATGGAAAACATGCCTCAAGCCTAAACTCAAAGCTGGAACAGCCCGAACACCCCAATATAGGTGCCTTAATAAGTGGAATCAGGTTTTGTGGCCCATTCTACTACCCGGAGAATAGTATACGTACATAATTATTTAAGCCCCTATTGAGCCACGCTGCCAGGTTCGCTTTGCTTTTTTTACTTTCCTCCGCCTTTTTGGCTCGGAGGTCCTCGGTAGCAGGCAGCTTTCGTACCGTTTTGTGTTGTACGGCTTTAGTGGTTTAGGGGTTACGGGTTAGAGGTTCAGGGTGCAGACAGAAGTTTTGCTTTTGAAGGGACGAGGTGCTGTTGAGGCGTGGTAAGGGCTTTTTGGAGTTTCAGGGACTGCGGCGCTTTGCCGTTGAACGGGTTCGCAGGTGCTTTGTGCCACCTCGTGCCTTGATCTCCGCACCTATGACACACAAAGCCCTGCAACCTCGGGATGCGTCGAAACCTCCAAAAAGGAACCCTTACCTCACACTCTGCATTCGATCTTCTTGTGAAGAAACTTGGGTGCTTCGGGTCTTTTGGGGCGGGCTTCAGAATGCAATTTACGGTACGCTTTGGAAGAACGGTAGTAATAGTAGTTATAGTTGTACCGCATTCTTCCATTCCCTACTAACCAAAGCCCCCAAAAGAGGAGACCCTAAACCCTCAACCCTAAACCCCAAAAGCCCCAAACGCCAAGGTAAGTCTATCGGCCCGTCGACCCTAAGTCCGCAAATCCTCCAAACTCTAAAACCTTTGACGCAAGAATCAACTTTGTTTTTGGAGATCCATTTGAACTACCCAGAGACAGTATATACATATATATATATATATACATATATATATATATATACATACATATGTCTATATATATATATATATAACCCCGAAAAGCGGAACACACCAAAGAAGTCCCCGATAAACCCTGAACCCTCCCCCCCTGAAATAGATCTTGCTCATGGCTGGAGAGTGGCGGCTGCAGCGGCCAAGAGTTCCTCCTTGCCAGGAAAGCTGGGACCCGCCTTAGTGGCACTCTTGCTGCTTTTGGTTTAAGGGTTTAGGGGTTTAGGGCTTAGGGGTTTAGGGTCCAGGGTAGGGTCTTTCTTGATTGTGTCTCCCTTCTTTTGTTTCTTACATATTATATAAGTGCGACTCTTGTACTCCTTTGCATGACTTTCACGATCAATATGGCTACTCATGCAATTCATGTTGCTCTGGGACCCCGCTGCAGATACCAGGTGCTCAAATCGACTCGTGCAGCACTCCGAGTATGAAGCCGTTTTGGTCCAAAACAAAAATTCTGTCTGAGCTTTAGATGGGGCCCCAAAAAACACACAAGCAAAAATAAAGACAGTGATATCCCACATAAATCCCCTTTTACTTAAGACCAATATGGTAGAGATATCCCTATAACATGCTTATGCTTATGCGCTTTTTGGGTCCCTAATGAAAGAATTTCGCGGCTCTAGGGTCTGATCTTGACCAAAGCGTCGTAGTGCAGGGGTTCAGGACTGTTGATGATACAAGTCCCTAAACCCTAAACCCCTACCTGTAGCCGAAACGACCTACCTTTTTAGGGCTCCTTATTATGGTTTCTATATATAGTCAGTTCCTTACAAAGGTAGATCTTTTCGGCTACAGGTAAACCCTAAACCCAAAGCCTAAACTATGGGAATTATGGCATGTTCCATAGTATGGGTAATGCAGCATTTTAAACCTTACACCATCAACCGGAGTAGCCGGGATTGGGAAAGAGGCGTCTGAGAGTCTGCAACAGGGTCTTAGAATCTGGGGTTCGA